TAAACTACTTTGATACTCTAATGTTTTTTCCCGAACTAACATATGGCACAACTTTGCTGTCCAAAGTTTTGGAATGCGCTCCCAAATGAACTTCGCAAAATTACATCTATTGAAACTTTTAAACGTCATCTGAAGACTTTGTAAATTAGCGTATAAATGCTAAACTCCTATATCAGTCTACTCTTTTTGTAAGATTGTGTTGTGATTGTAAGACAGTCCATTCGATTGTCGTCTTGATTCCCGCTTGTCTGATACCACTCAGCGATACATCTTGTACAATAACTATGAAGACAGAAGAAGGAGTTTTGGGCTGGGTGAATACATCATGACAAAGAGAACAGGTCAGTTGTTCTTCGAAGCTGTCTGTGATGTCTTTGAGCGATTTGAGTGCAGCCATTTTCACAGGGATGCGGAAAAGGACCAGTGAGTCAGATTTCTTGGAACTGGAATGTGATATTCAAAGGAGTCACGCGAAAACCCTGTGGAGAATGTGTCTAGGCACGCTGCTTGTGATGACATCAATCTTGGAGATGCTTGACCTGACCTTCACTAGAGTCAATCAAATGGATCGACTAGGTTTTGTTTGTGACGATCAAATCGGAACTTTTTGTCAGCAAAAATGTAAACAATCCAAAGCAATTAGTTCATGTGATCGAAACCTTTCTTAAGGTAATATCGGGCATCGGCCGGTCACACGGTCAAAATTTCGATTTTGCTCATTTTTGGTTTGCTGGAATGTATTACCGAGTAAACTAACTTGGTATAGTTAGTTTTTCAAAAAACCGCTAAAATTCTGAGAAATCCAAGAAAATTTGTTGGCCTAGCGGCGACCTCAAAAGTATGTACATTTTCAGTTGAATCAAACAGGTCCAAAAACAGCTAAAGCATGCAGAATAGGAAAAAGATATGAAAATTATATGTTTATAAATTGATAGAAGAGATGTTTGAGACTTGATTGGGTATAAAATAACGGTTTTAGCTATTTATTGAAAGCGGTCAGATGAGATTTAAAATTGAGTGGTATTAAGAGAATGATTAGCATAGTCAAGGGACAACAGAACAGTTTTATAATGGTAATTGAACTGAGTGGAGTGCAATTTGGTCTGAAATCAAACGCGCGATTACAAAATCGCACGACCGCGTAGCGGGAGTGCGATTTGTAATTGCAAGTTTGATTTCAGACCAAAATTGCACGACACGAAGTTCAATTACCACTTTATTATATCCATTTTGAAATCTTTTTTGAAAAAGATGTTTTTTTCAGTTAAACCGACATGACTTACAATCTAAAAGCAGTCGATTCAAACATGCTGCCAAGAGAACTTGTTTATACTGATCGAGCAATGATTCTCATTTTGAAAACCAACACTTTCAATCCAAAACTAAAATGAATTTATATCGGACCAAAAGGCATTACGTGTATTAAGAATCGTTTACTTACATTAAATAATAAGACAATCCTGCCCAAAAGGGTTGTAATGAACTGGCTGTTGTCCATATTACAGCCAATGCTCACTGCTTGTATTTTTACGATTTCTGTTCAA